GGAGTTGGAGGTTGCTGTGAGCTGTGATGCCACGGCACTCTGCCCAGGGGGACAGCTTGAGGCTCTGTCTCAAAAAAAAAAAAAAAAAAAAGAATTCTTGTTTAAATTTCTATCTCCCAGAAGGATGCCATAGAGTTTGGGTTTGGGGGTAAGTTTCCCTGGAAATATTTTTATGAATGAGCAATTCTTTTCATCTTATAGTATGTCATTTAAAAAATTTTTTTTTGCCATTTTTGGCTGGGGCTGGGTTTGAACCCGCCACCTCCAGCGTATGGGGCTGGTGCCCAACTCCTGTGAGCCACAGACGCCACCCAATTTTTTGAATTCTTTCAATACTCAGCATTGTATTGGTACTTAGAGTAATACAAAATAATATACGTTAACCAGAGATGCTTGAAAATAATTGAGATTTTAAAACTGAAAATACCCTTCTCAGTTCTAGTAATAGTTGATAGTTGTGCTATTCCAAACTATTCAGAACCAACAATAAATTATATGTTGTAAACTGTTCATTATCCAGCATCAAATTATAGGTAATATAAATCATAGATTGCCTATGGCAAAAGAACCAAAAGTACTCAATTAGAAGCTGCATTTCAAGGAAATATAGATGTTATCCCATTCTTTAAACATCTCAATGCATTTTAAAAATGATTAATTTTACCAGCATCTGTAGTACATAATATAGATGTACTCTACTAAATCAAGGTTGGTTATATGGAAAAGGGGTTAGAAAATACCTAAATTAAATGATACTCACTATATAGTTTCAAAGATATGGCAGGGTTTTTCACTCTGTATACTGCTTTTCTGATTAGATTTGAGTTTGACACATACATTTTACTTAATTGTAAAGCTATGACATCTTCGTATTCTAAGAAGATTTTTTGTTTTCTTTTTCATTGACCTATTAAGCACATATTTTTAAAGGAAACTTTACACTTCTTAAAAACTACATCTTTTTTATTTTTCAGTTATGGATTTTCAAATATGCGCTATATCTCTTCGCTAATTAGTGGTGTTGGTATTTTCATGATGGGTGCAGGACTATCGTGGTACCATGGAGTCATGGGATTGCTTCATCCTCAACCAATAGAATCCCTTCTATGGGTAATCCTCTTTTTTTTCACCTCAGTTTTGAAGTAATATGATACAGCAATGAGTAAATAGAATGCCTTTGTCGTGCTAATGTCAAAGAATGGGAATGATAGGAGTGTACAGTTGAGAAGGTATTTGATCCATACGATTAATCCAGATGACGCAGTGAGGTTAATAAGAGCATCTCTGAAGTGCAGTTACTGAGTCCTGCCTCCTTCGTCAGATGTTGGGCAGTTCCATGAATTTCTCCTGTTACTGTCAAAGAGTAAAAAGACCTCTGTTCACTTTTAGTCCCAAGAATAGTCTTTCAGGAATTCAAATATCCAGTCCTTTGTAATAGTCCTGAGTTGGAACTGCATTTCAAGTTGTCTTTTTGCTCCTCCTGGGCTTCTTCAGGCAGGAAACCTGCTCTGGGAGATTGGGAAGGTGGTACCTTCTGTATCCTCTCCCTGCTACAACCCCTGGGCTTCTGCCCCTCTTTCCTAATCCCTAGGCTGTGTTGAGGGTTGAGACAGGGAATAAAAAGTGCTGTTTTCATACTATGATGTAGATATTTGGCTTGAATGTTGTTGAAATTTTTTAGAATTTATGTTCCTAGATTTTTGTACTCCTTGGAAAAAGCTTCTCTTGCCATCTTTATTTAATTGAAGAATGTCCTAGAAGTGTAAGGAAAATAGTGTTACCCCCCAAAAAGTAATGGATTACTATTTATAACTCTTTACCTTCTGAATCAGGACATTTTAGTACTGGACATCCAAGCAAAACCGGAAGTTACTTGAGTACAGATGTGGCTCTTACTGTCTGCTCTCCACACACACACACAGAGATTTCAAATGTTAGTTTGTATTTCATTGTCCTCCTCTGAACTCCTTTCCATTAGTGTCTTTATCATCTGGCTTAGATTTGAATTTATATTATTTAGACATTGCAAACTTTGTGCATGAATAATTGTGATTCTTTTAGCAAGATAATTTATGCTTTATTTTAATATTTTCTAGGCATATTGTATTTTAGCAGGATCATTGGTATCTGAAGGAGGTACGTGCTGCTGTCACAAAGGGTCTCCTTATTCGTAAATTTGTAATACATAAATATTCAGCAGTTCATTATTATAGTTTGCTAGGTTCCATTGATTAAAATATGGGAAGTAAGAATCTAAGTAAGCTTTGCCTACTTTTAGGGAGTAAAATCTTTGTATGGCATAATATGACCACACCTAATGGATGGTCATGGATGAGGACACCGGTGGGGAACCTGTGGCCTTCTAGATTCTTAAGTGCTGCCTTTGGCTGAATCCCAAGGATTCGATCTATAAAATTTGGATTCAGTAAAATTTAGATTCAATCAAAAGGCTGCACTCAAGGATCAAGAAGGCCACATATGACCTTAAGGCCTCAGATTCCCCATCCCTGAATGAGGATAAGGGGAAATTATGTTTTGTTTGTGAATATTATATCACAGTGCTCAGAGCATTTGAAATGGAGTATAGAAACAATTATATATATCATTTAAATTTTATTTTATATATATATATATTTTTTTTTTTTTTTTTTTTTTTGAGAGAGAGAGAGAGTCTTATGTCACTCTCAGAAGAGTGCTGGGGTGTCAGAGCTCACAGCAACCTCAAAGTATTGGGCTTAAGCAATTCTCTTGCCTCAGCCTCCCAAGTAGCTGGGACTACAAATGCCCACCATAATACCTGGCTATTTTTTGGTTGTAGTTGTCATTGTTGTTTGCCAGGCCTGGGCTGGGTTCAAACCCACTAGCTCCGGTATATGTGGCCAGTGCCCTAGCCACTGAGCTACAGGTGCCAAGCCATCCATTTCACATATTACACACACACACATATATTTTTTTTTTTATTTTTTTTTTTAAGCAGTCTTGCTATGTTGCCCAGGCTGGCTTAAGCTCCTGGGCTTCAGTGATCCCCTTGACTCTGCCTTCCGAGTAGTTGGGATTTAAAAGCTTGCACTACTGTGGCCAGTTTATGCTGCATTTTAAAATGTCGGTTTTGGGCAGTGTTAATCTGAAGGCTGTCTATTTTTGTAGTATGACTTATTTCAAAGTTTCTGAAATATGTATACAGCTCTAGTAGTATTATAACAGAAAACTGCTAATATCAGTATGAAGCTGCCTAATCAACCACTGTATTCATAGGGTTTACTCCTGAAACATTGTCACTTACCTTGTATAGTGCTCCTTTCATCTGTTTTTTATAATATTTTGAATTAATAGATCATAATTGTATATGTTTATGGGGCCCTAAAATGTTGTTTATAAAATGTTGATAGTACCACCTGCCTCAAAAGATTGGAAGGCTCAAAAGTGATTGTGCTTGGTATGTGGTTCCTGCCAAATAGGAATATTTGTTCAATAAGTTGTTCTTATCGTAATTACATTTAATTTTTATGGTTTAGAAATAAGGGATTTGTTTTATTATGATTAATTTGGGTCTTGATGATGGCTAGTTGATATTGCCAGCCTGGCATTGAGATGTTGTACTTACATGTCTTTTGAGATGCCATCTTTAAAGTTGAGAGGTATGAAGTTTCTTTGCCAACATGAATGCTTTTCTTTCAGCCACACTTCTTGTTGCTATAAATGAACTTCGTAGGAGTGCTCGGGCCAAAGGAATGTCATTTTACAGATACGGTATGTTTTTTAGAGGCATTTATTTCACCTCCTTTATTTGCTTAAAATTACTTAGTACTTTTACTTTGTTCTAATAGATACGTACAAAATATATCTCACTGTTAAGTGCCTGTACGGCTCTTAAGTATACTTAAGCTCTTTAAAAAGACAAATGTGGTACAGTTTGAACATGGACACTTTAGATTTAGATTTGACTTAAGTGAACCACTGTATTTCTATATATTCTTATATAACCTGAGAAAGTAATGGACTTCATATATCTATTGTTGTTGACATTTAAGCCAAAAAAATTGCATGTATATTGAACATAGTTTTTAAAATCGTGATCTCATAAATTTTTTAATCTTTATTTCTTGGTTTTAAATGGATACTTATTAAAATGTTACCTGATAATATCAAATTAAGATTTCAGAAATTTTCTTTTCTTGTCTCTCCCCAATGATTAAGTAATGGAAAGTCGTGATCCTAGTACAAATGTGATATTATTGGAAGATACTGCAGCAGTATTGGGAGTGATAATAGCAGCTTCTTGTATGGGCCTTACTTCTATAACAGGTGAATATTTCTGAAATTATAAGTGATTCATTTGTACTTCTTAAATCTTTAATATGCAGGAATTTATTGAATAATATTCCATTCTAATCATTGGTTTATAAAAGGTATTTAGTTAGTAAAAGTATTCAGGTTTCTTTGAATTAGAAATTTCTCTAAATTTGAAATAAGAAAGGGTGTTGGGGGTGGTGCCTGTGGCTCAGTGGGTAGGGCGCCGGCCCCATATACCAAGGGTGGCATGTTTGAACCCGGCCAAACTGCAACAAAAAAATAGCCAGGCATTGTGGCGGGCACCTGTAGTCCCAGCTACTTGGGAGGCTGAGGCAGGAGAATCTCTTAAGCCCAAGAGTTGGAGGTTGCTGCAAGCTGAGATGCCATGGCACTCTGCCAGAGGCAAAAAAGTGAGACTCTGTCTCTTAAAAAAAAGAAAGAAAGAAAAAGAAAAAAAAAGTGTCGACTTACTCTGTGTTGTGGCTTTTGTTCATTTGTGTTTCCACTCTTAGTGTCAATAATAACTGCCATCGCCTTCCTATTGCCTTAACTCTCTTTAAGGTGGTTTCTTAGTTAGGTGTTTTGAGAACAAGAATAGGAGAGAAGACAGAAAATACATTTTAGTTTTATTTTCTAAAGCAAAAGAACCATTTAGTATGGAAAGATTCAATTTATGAAGACTCTTGGAATTCTTGGAATGGAACTTTTTCCATTTCCCCTTTGTTTTGTATATTTAAAATAATGTTAGGTGGCAAGTTTCCATAGTTCTTAATTGTTTCTTCAAATAGTTTGAAGTATGGGCTTGGCACCTGTAGCAGTGGTTATGGCGCCAGCCACATAACACCAAGCCTGGCAGGTTCGAGCCTGGCCTGGGCCTGCTAAACAACAATGACAACTGCAACAAAAGAATAGCTGGGCATTATGGCAGGTGCCCGTAGTCCCAGCTACTTGGGACGCTGAGGCAAGAGAATCACGTCAGCCCAAGAGTTTGAGGTTACTGTGAGCTGTGACACCACAGCACTCTACTGAGGGCAATATAGTGAGACTCTGTCTCAAAAAAATAAAAAAAAAAATCTGAGGTCTGAATAGCTTTTTCTCATGTTGAATGGCATGTTTTAATACTATCCCAGCATTCTTGGATATTCACGGTGATCCTGAATATTTGTAAAAAGTACCAATTTTCTAGCTGACCTTACAATTTTAGATGCTTTTTGTATATAAATTAGCAAAAGTTTAGGCTTATAGAAAGTATGACTTGATATAAAAGTCAACTTTCTTTTTTAACATGGGAAGCTTTATGAATTTGTGCCATTCTTGCATGGAGTTAGGTTAAATTTCTCTGTATCATTCCAGTTATAGTATATGTACTACTGAAGTGAACATAAGTCAGCTTTTTTTTTTTTTTTCATAAGTCAGCTTTTAATGTGTTTATTTTCTCTTACATAATAATGGAAACAAATCAAATCAAACTTACAAAAGTATGTATGTTTCACACCAATTAAATTTTATTCAGTTAATTAATTTATTTAAGTAACACACCAGGAAACATTTTCTTCAAGAAAGGCAAGTATGTTTTTAAATTTTCTTTTGATTTTCTACAGTATTTGGTATTGAGCTGTACAACTACAAATCTTTTAGTAGACTGTTTTACTCATCATTTTAACACTTATTTTAGATAAATGAGTTTACTTTTTAGTGTTATATTTTGACTAGATGTTAATAAAACTAGTACAGTAGAACCTCTCTAAGTTCACCACCCAGGGACTGTAACAAACCAATTCCCATAAGGAGGTGGGCAACATAAGAAGCTTTTTTTTTTTTTTTAAGAGAAAGAATCTCGCTATGTCGCCCTCGGTAGAGTGCTGTGCTGTTACAGCTCACAGCAATCTCCAGCTCTTGGGCATAGGCAATTCTCTTGCCTTAGCCTCTCGAGTAGCTGGTACTACAGGCGCCTGCCAAAACGCCTGGCTATTTTGTTGTTGTTGTTGCAGTTTGGCTGAGGCCGGGTTTGAACCCGCTACCTCTGGTATGTGGGGCCAGTACCCTACTCACTGAGCCACAGGTGCCGCCCAAGAAACTTTCTTTTTCTTTTTTTTCTTAATTGAGACAGAGTCTCACTTTGTCACCCTCAGTAGAGTGCTTTGGGGTCATAGCTCACAGCAACCTCAAACTCCTGGGCTCAAATGATTCTCTTGCCTCAGCCTCCCTAGTGGCAAGGACTACAGGAGCTTGCCACAACTCCTGGCTTTGTTTGTTTGTTTAGCAGGCCTGGGCTGGGTTCAAACCCACCAATCCCAGAGCATGTGGCTTGCACCCTAACCACTGAGCTACGGGCATCCAGGAAGCTTTCATTGCGTACCTGTGGTATAATGTCTGGTTTATGAAAATTATGGCAATTTAAGGAGGCAGTCAACTATGGAGCTAGGACTGTATTAGGAGCCATTCCAGTTTTATTTTTTATCTATCTATTTATATTTTTTATTAAATCATAGCTGTGTACATTAATGCAGTCATGGGGTACACTGTGCTGGTTTTATATACAATTTGAAATACTTTCATCAAACTGGTTAACACTGCCTTCATGGCATCCTCTTAGTTATTTGTGTTAAGACATTTACATTCTACATTTAGAAAGATTCACATGTACCCTTTTAAGATGAACCATAGGTGTGGTCCCACCAATTACTCTCCCTCCACCCATCCTTCCCCTTCCCCTCCCTCTCCCCTTTCTGTATTAGGAGCCATTAAAGAAGAAATTACAAGAATTAAGAGTCTCAGCGCCCGTAGCTCAGTGGTTAGGGCACTAGCCACAAACACCAAAGCAGGCGGGTTCAAACCTGGCCCGGGCCTGCTGAACAACAATAACAACTGCAATAAAAAAATAGCCGGGTGTTGTGGCAGGTACCTGTAGTCCCAGCTACTTGGGAGGCTTAGGCAAGAGAATCACTTAAGACCAAGAGTTTGATGTTGCTGTGAACTACAATGCCATGACACCCTACTGAGGGCAACATAGTGAGACTATTTCAAAAAAAAAGAAAGAAAAGGAAAAAAAGAATTAAGAGTGAATTTCACATGCCTTGATTTACTAGTTCTGGTTTTTTGCTCTCTAAAACTCACTGAAATAATAGAAAATGTTTATTTACTGATTTCTTATGTGCTTTATTTAGGCAATCCGCTGTATGACAGCCTAGGTTCTCTTGGTGTGGGCACCTTATTAGGTGTGGTATCAGCTTTCCTCATCTACACTAACACAGAAGCGCTCTTAGGGCGATCCATCCAGCCAGAGCAAGTCCAGCGGCTTACTGAACTCCTGGAGAATGACCCATCAGTAAGGTCAGCCTTATTCCAGTGCTGCTACTAAGGCTTGCAAAACACGTACTAAAAAACAAAAATGCTTGGTTTGTAAATACTCCCAGAGTAAGTTTTGGGTTCCTAGCTCTTAGAACTTGAAAAAATCTATTACTTCTCAGAATTATAATCTTGGAAGCAAGGATACATTTAGAAAAATATGTATAGGTTTCCTTTTAAATTTATTAGACCAAGGAACAGTCAGATATAATGGGAATAGTTGGCTTCTTAACGTGAAACCTGGGCAGTGCCTGTGGCTCAAAGGAGTAGGGCACCGGCCCCATATGCTGAAGGTGCGGGTTCAAACCCAGCCCTGGCCAAAAATAAAAAAAAAAAA